TGGATGTGTTGACCTGTCTTCATGGACGTGTTGGCCTGTCCTCGTGGACGTGTTGGCCTGTCCTCATGGACATGTTGACCTGTCTTCATGGACATGTTGACCTGTCCTTAAGGACGTGTTGACCTGTCCTCATGGACGTGTTGACCTGTCCTTAAGAACATGTTGACCTGTCCTCATGGACGTGTCGACCTGTCCTCCTGGACGTGTTGACCTGTCCTTAAGGATGTGTTGACCTGTCCTTAAGGATGTGTTGACCTGTCCTCATGGACGTGTTGACCTGTCCTTAAGAACATGTTGACCTGTCCTCATGGATGTGTTTACGTGTTCTCATGGATATATTATGTGTCCTCATGGACATGTCCTCATGAACATGTGTTCTTGGACGTGTCCTCATGGATGTGTCAATGTGTCCTCATGGACGTGTTTATGTGTCCTCATGGTCGTGTTGATGTGTCCTCATTAACATGTTCTGTCCTCCAGCTGCCAGCTCCTGATTCTAACCCTCTGCCTGAGAGCTCCTCTGGTAAATGTCGGCGCTGTGTGGTTGTGGGAAACGGCGGCATCCTCCGAGGCCTGGAGCTCGGCTCTCTGATTGACCGCTTTGACACCGTCATCAGGTTAGAGACAGACTTTGCAGACCTGGTTCTCAAAAACTGTTCCCTGTCACTATTCTGTGTGTGGACTCAAAGAACCTGATGTGACATTGGGTGTGTAAACACAGATTTGTGATGAAGTTCTGTCTCTGCGTTTCAGGTTGAACAGTGGTCCTCTGGAAGGCTTCAGCGATGATGTTGGAAATCGAACCAGCATCAGAATGAGTTACCCAGAGGGCACGCCGCTGCACTGGGTCGACACCGACCCACAGGCTGTGTTTGTAGCCGTGGTGTACAAGAGGTCTGACCTGAGCTGGATCTCTTCCATGATCAGCAGGCTCAGCGTGGTGAGTGCAGGAGGGCCCACTTCTCCAGCATCCTGGTTTCTTTAAGGATGTTCATATTTAGAGGATCAGAGGACCATAGAGGACCAGATTGAACTTTTTTAGATTTTTCTACCTGGATTATTGAGCATGCATCAGGATGTTCATATTTGTTCTTACCTGTTTGATGCCTCTGTTCACTCTGTGTGGAACACTATGCTCCCTAACATGGTTTGTGTTCTGTGGATCATCTGAGCTGTATGTAGAACCACAGGGTGTCAGGGATCAACAAACAGGACATCAGCAGCTCTGGCACAGATACCTCAGTCACATTTCTCTTGTATTCTCCTCATGAGCTTCATTACCTGACAGACACAAAACAGATAAATAATGATTGGAGACGAGAAGCGCCTCTCAGTGAGGCTGCAGCCTCAGACACCCCGTCTACCCTGTCTGTTGTTTGTTTGTGTTTTTTTGGATGGACTGTACTGGAATATAATTTTGTTGTGCTTCTGTGCAATGACAATAAAGCTGATTCTGATTAGGAGAAGAGTTCCATCTTGCCAGCAATAAACCACAGGAGGTGTGGCTGTGCCTGCAAAACATTACAAACTACAGAGAAGAGGTCTAGAAGTTTACTACCTGTATTGAACATCACTAAAACTATGGAGATCATGGACTTCAGGAAGCATAACACTGACATGGACCCCCCACCCCCCTTATCAACTATGAGTGTGGAGAAGGTTCACACATTCAGGTTGCTGGTGTCTTGATCTCAAGTGACCTCTCCTGGATAGAGAACAACACAAGTTCAAGTCAATTTTATTGTCATTCACATCACATGGTACATGCGTGGAACAAAATTATGTTCTCTGGGTCCCAGTTACACCCAAAAATAGCAACAATATAAAGTGTAAAAAGAAATGTCCACTGTCATTAAGAAGGCCCAGCAACGACTCCACTTCCCAAGTGTCCTCAGGAAGAACAACGTGGATTAAAACAGCTACTGACCTTCCATCGCTCATCCATTGAGAGCCTCCTGATGTGCTGTACTTCAGAAAGGCACAGGAGCTGCTCTGAGGCAGACCAGGGGAGGCTTCAGAAGATGATCCAGGCAGCACACCAGAGTTTTGGCTGCCTTCATCCCTCCCTGATGGACATCTACATCTCCCTCTGTCTCTGCAGAGCACAGAACATCTCCAAGGACGGTTCTCATCTCGGGTCTCAATTGTTGGAGCTTTGTCCCTCTGGCAGGTCCTACAGATGTATCAAAACCACAACTAAGACTGAGGAACCATTTCTTTCTCAGAGTCTCAACCGTTCTGAACTCTCATATTGCTCTGATCTCAGTCAGACTTCCTTGTCACCAATAATAAAATATTAATAATATTTTATTTTATTACGTTTGTTTATTTACATTATGCTACAAAATGTAGATTATATTTTGGAACATAGTTGGTTTGCATTTCCCTTGCACTAAAAATGGAGAAGCTCATCAATCTCTTTGTACTTTCTGTTTGATGACAATAGAGAGTCAGAGTTTCTTTATTGTCATTCGCACCTCATGTGGTACATGTGGTGGAGCGAAATTATGTACACAGGGTCCCAGTTACATCCAACAATAAAATGTATAAGAAAAACAGTAATAACATCTAAGATATGAACTAAGAAAAACATCAACCAAATATACACTAAGCACTCATAACATAAAAACATTGAACATCAGCACAAACATGAACATGAGTCTGTGAGCAGATGTGCACGCATGAACACATCAACATTGAAACAGATCAGCAGCAACATGAAACAGATCAGCAGCAACATGATATGGTTCTTCACAGTGATTATTCTAGTTAGAGATTCATGAGTCTAACAGCCTCAGGGTAGAAGCTGTTCCTCAGTCTAGTGGTTCTACACTTAATGCTCCT